ACAGACCCAAACACCCCATTTTATAGTGGAAAAATAGGCTCCAACGGACCAAAACATTTAAGGGGTGATTGGCACAATTTGTGGGATTTGATTAAAATTGGATCTGCTGAAATTCACCTAGACAGCGCTGTCCTAGGCCTGGACATCGCTGTTCTAGGCTTGATTTTAAAAATTGGGAAGCAACGGTCATGCCAACAGCGATGTCCAAAAACCCCTACATCGCTGTTTTGGCTGTTGACTTCCAAACAAGGAAAGTTTTAGCCTTAAGTTCCTTCCAACGGTCAGGTCCCTACATCGATGGCTATTACTTGAAAATCGTTGTTTAGGTCTTACTTTTGAAGGTGGAAGTTTGGCCTGACAGCGCTGTTGCTGGGTCAACATCGCTGTCCAAAAACTTTTTGCCAATGCACTATATTTTTGGCTTAGGTTGGACAGCGCTGTAGGGGAGCCTACATCGCTGTTCCAGAAGTTTCTGGAAATCCAACCTTGGCTCAACAGCGATGTCTTAATTCCAACATCGCTGTTGGAAGACTTAACGCCAAACCATGTTTTTGGCTACCCAGGCCAGACAACGCTGTTGATTACCTCTACATCGCTGTTGGGCTTGGTTTAGCCAGACCCATGGTTGGTTTAGTCACGCCGTTAGCCGATGTCAAAAACGCAAGTTCTCCAAAATAAAAACCATGTTTAGAAAACATTTGTTTATTGCATTTTGCTACGAAATCAAGTAAAACATCTTGAAAACCACGTCATTTAGTTGACAACCATGGCTAACCAAGTTCGTGCCGTTTCGCATGGTTTTCACTAAACGACTAAAAACGGAGAGTAGTTTTTGAGGCGTTTTTGTTGGAGAACTATTTAAATATGCCCAGAAGTAAAAACCAGTCATAAAAAGTTGAAAACCACTTGGTTGGTTCGGACGCCAAAAAACCAATGCCGAAAACCAAAAGCCGAACGCCGGATGGCTTGGTTTTTGGCTTGGGCGAACTCCAAGTGTTTTGAGCCAAGTTTAAAACTTAAGAAAAATATTTTTGAATATGTAAAAGAGATTTTATGAATTGAGCCTAGAGAGCCAAGATTTGGAATTTTGTGCCGGTCTTGATCACATTAAGACCGACTCAATACAATTCTAGTTCTTCGTTCTTGATTCTGGGTTCTTGGTTCTCAAGTCATCATGCCATGTTCCTTCGCCTTAGTTTTGCTCACTTTAGCTTCGATGTGTAGCGGCGGTTTGGCATTATCAAAACCTGTCATAACAACCGAACACAGTTTAGTACGACGTAGGCGTAAACCCGTGTTCCAACAAACTATGCCAAGATATAGTCATCCTCCACTCCAGAAACTATTTGTGCCACCTAAGTATGCTTATAACCAACACAAGTCACACTATGCACAACCTAGAAAAAACTATAGGTCTTATCAACCTAGGTTTGCTAGGAGAAAACAGGAAATTGCACCTCCTGCACGTAGGAAGTTTTATGCCTACAACTATGATTACAATCCCAACAAGTTTAGAGGTGCAAGGAAAATTCCCTGCCACTTTAAACTTGATGTAGGGACAAACACCATTAACCATTCTGGACCTAGACTGCAATGGGTACGAAAATCTTCCTCCTCCTAATGTAGGAAGCCGCTAAGTACCCAGGTGTTGGGTACTTAGACAGTGGCTGCTCAAGACACATGACGGGTGATGCGAGCCTTTTGAGCAATCTAATTCCCTATGATGGTCCAAGAGTTACTTTTGGAGGAAGCAACGATTTTGGCCTTACTAAAGGACTAGGAAATCTTGTGTACAAGGGACTAACCATCCAAGATGTATCTTATGTTGAAGGACTCAATTACAACCTTCTTAGCATAAGTCAGTTTTGTGATAAAG